TACAGATGTTTAGGTTATGTATGTTGCCCTTGCCCCCCCCAAGTCCGTGTTTCAAATATATAACACAAATATTAACTCATTTAATCTTCACAGCATCTGCATGTGGCAGATAATATAATTATCTATCCCTTTTTATTAGTTAAAAAATTGAAATATGGAAACCTAAATCACTTGTTCATGATTCTATTGCTAGGAAATAAATAAGAGGAAGGTTGGGGATCCAGGGTTTTGGCTCTGAAATCTGTGCTTCTAAACACTACATCAAGAAAGAAACTGGTACATCAAAAATTCTCTTTATCTTACTTGGTGCATCCCTCTTTTAGTTAATTCTGTGATTCACTACTTGTATATAGATTACAGAATTCAGGATGAATTCTTGTCTGTGCCTTTTGATATAAAGATGAGGAAATCATATTTTGCTTTTGTGATACCTGTGGACCAAACACCACTGACCCCTTTTCTAGGATCCTTATGCTGCTTGGGCAGATAAACAAGTTTGCATGAGACAAGGTCTTTCAAGGAAATGTCAGTATGATATACATAGGGATTTAAGACACGTACACTCAGTGAGCTGTGAGACTACCGTAATCCCTGCCTGGTACAAGAGAGATTTGATTTAATAAGTGCTGATTTTCACTTTGTAAATAGAGTCAACCTCTCCTCTACTGAGGATCCCAAGGTAATGTAGGCCCCAGGCTGATTTACATATTTTAAAATTATCAAGCATTTTTCAACTAGACCAACTGTCAGGTATACCCCCAAGGAAGACGCTTCAGCATGAAGAAAGAAGGGAATAAAATTAAAAATGTCTCTTTTCCCCTTTTTTATTATCTGGAAAAAATGAACATACTTACATTCAAAAGGTCTGTTCTAATATTTATATTGACCAGATATGGTGTGATTTCTACTGTGACCACCAAAATACCCTCAAGTATTTGTAGGGTTTTTCTTCATGGTCCCAATGCCTATAGTTTGAAAGAATTACAAAGAAATCAGGTTATTAAAGCATTCATTGATTTATTAACCATTGACTAAAATCCTACTATATGCTAAGAACTATGCTAGGAAATAATAATAAATTGTAATAAACTATAATATTCTTAAAGTAAGAAATAAGATACAGGATACATCCACAAATAATTTGAATTTTGATAGGGTATATAAACACAATCTCTCTCTCTCTGTGTCTCTCTGTCTCTCT